ATTTGATATTTTAAAAATTAGTATATATTGTTCTAAACACAAAAGATCTCAAAACATCGAAATAAGAAAAATACCGTAAATCAAAAAAAGGTTTACTGTTATTTAGTTTGGTTCAAAACCTACAATATCTTCATTGCTTTCACTGTAATTTATTTTTTTATTATTTAGGGAGCATTATAAATAGTTATGTTTTTAAAAGAAAAAAAACTACTATAATAAATAACACATTCAATTGAACTAAACTATGCATGTCTATTTAAATATATTTACACATGGCTTGTGTATATAGTATATATATACATATATATTATTCATACCTTCGGTGTATAGGATGCAAGCAGATTTTGACGTCAAATTTTGGGGTAAAAAGTGCATCTTATACCTTGAAAAATATGGTAATTTTTTTAAAAATTAGTTTAATAAAAGTTAAAATAAAAACTTTAAACCTTCAATATTAATTTTAAACTTAAAATCAGCATATCTATGGTCACTAGATTTATAATGGGTCGTTGTTCGACCATATTGTGATGAATGAAAAGAGCACCGTTAAGATAGTGTATATTTCTTAACTTACAAAATTGTTGTAGAGCAAAATCTTTAGTTGAAACTTTCAGCTTTCTATAGGTAAATCACAAACTTGTATTTAGTGAATTGTTCAGTCTATAGACCTCTGAATGATTGCAAACGTCTTATTTGCCGATGATACCATGGTAAACCTGGAAAACATTACTTGATTACAATTTACAGCTTTTACAATAAAGAATATTATTTTTTATAACAGGTAAATGTTTCAGTCACTGGTGTGATCATTTTCAAGTTCACAAGTTTTTAATGTTAAACTCGTGTACTTAAGAATGATTGTACAGTGATCAAAACATCAAACCTGTTCTAAAAAAATATTATTCCTTACTGTAAAAGCTGTAATTTGTAATCAAGTAATACTTAATCAGTAAGTAAACTCAAAATGAAACTATTAAGGTCAAAACCTTGTATTGTACATGCATTTTTATTTTTCCTTATTACATTTAACCTTTGAAAAAAATTCTTTAAATGGCTAATATTAGCTTTGCAAAGTACGAGTACAATTTGTAACTGCATATTTTTACGTCCGTAGGCTTACGTTATGCTGCTATAGCAGGATTGGGTGTAAATGGCGAGGACCATATCATGAACTTCAAAATCACGAAGAGCTTTGCCTTCATCCACATAAAACGGGTAAAGAAGTGATAGAGGCTCTTGCTGTAATTGATGAAAAGAATCTTCAGGAGAACGAGCTCTACTCCTGTGTGTTTGAGTTACTCTCTTATGAAAAAATTGCCTTTAATGGTGAGGTTTTACATCTTTCATACTTTTAAAAGCTTGTTATTACGACAGTGTTACAGTATAATAAAGGTTTATATGTGGATTTAAACAATTTTGTTTGATAATAATATGATATTGAAGTGAAAATTAATATTCAGTTTTTAACTTCAGCATATCAGCTCATAGAATGGCTCCGAGTTTTTTTTCGCAAAGTACAAACTTTTAGCTCATAGCTCCATCATCTATTGACCGATTTGAGATCTAATTACAGTTTTAGACTCAGGAGGTCAAATCCTTTTCATAGATTAAGTTACTCTAATCCTGCTTAAAAGAATTTCAAGTGCCATGGCTATGTAGGATTCCCTCTTGTTGGTAAAAACAAATGTTTACCAGTCTACAAAAACATATCCTTCAATTTCAGGTTAAAAAATAAAATTGAAAGCAGCATATTTACAGCAACAAAGTGGGTGAAGAGTAAAACACTTAAGATTTTGTTTCAGTAAAACAAAATGTAAAGTTAAACATACATAAAATTGATTACAAACAAACATGTGAAAAAAACATAACAGTTAAAAGAAACTAAAAATCAAGAATTTGGCTTTCACTCTTTGTCAGTTCCAGTATTCTATGACATGAAGATTTCATTGTTACATTTAAGTGTTTCTATCAAACTTTGCCGCAATGAAGAGCTACCAAGGTACAAACTCCAAGTGGTCGGATAGTTCGCAACTGAACATTTTGTTACCGTTCCTTTACATATGTTATTTAAGATCATAAAATAAAAATAGTTTGTCAGTATTAGTTCATTAGACAAACACTCCAGTTAGTAAAATATTAGTAAACATTTCTTCAATATTAGTTTATTAGAGAAACATTCCGTCAAAATAAAAAAGGCTCTTATATTATAAAAAATTTCAATTAACATTATAAAAAAAATTATTTAGGCTTTCCTCGAGTAGTTGTCGAGCCATAATGAGTTATTTATACGTAGTTGGAACAGGCAGAAAAATGACCTGGTAGCGAAATACTCTAGTAACGAAAAGATCGGTATTGAACTGTCCTAGAACCCCAATTCCATGTCAAAATAGATTGTTACATTTTTTGCAGATTTTAATCTAAAAATGTACTAAATTGAATTGAAACTTTTTAGATTTAGTATCTCATAAAGGCTTAAGTGTGATAGACTTGTATAGAGCTATTACTGAGAGTTAACCACAAAACAATGTTCCAGATACCATGTTGTACATGGAATTACCTCATTCTGATGACCATGATTATGAAGTGTTGGTCAACTGTGCAGTTTCCATTATATCAAGCTTTTACAAAGAATGTTGGTTAATATTAGCTAGACTGTTGTATACTTTCCATGTGGATATCAGCTTCAAAGATCATATTTAAATATCTGTATTGGGGAACTTGGCTAAATGAAATTACTCTGATTCTACTTTCTTCTGTTAATTTGAAAGTGTAGCTGGAATATTTTGAATTT